GATAATGCAAAAAAAAAATAGGATAATGCATTTTCGCCAAGGGTTGAGGTCTGCGGCTGAAATCAGAGCGCTCCTTATCTGGGCGATGACGTCACAGATCTCAGGGAGTGCTCCGAGAGCGATTATAATGCAAATGAGGGCACTCCATTTGAAATCATTAGCCGAAGGTACTTTATTGTTTTGGCGAAATTGGGTAAAGTCGGTAAAGGCCCATCCTCAATCAATCTGGTAGCGAAGTGGCACTTCGGCACGCTACGATAATGTTGTTTAACGTTGGCATCCTCAATTCAATTCCGTGCTAGTAGAGGTGACGATAATTTATAAAAAAATAATATCGATAGTTTCGATAATCATGGTGGTGAATATCGAAACTATCGATAAATTATCGATAGTTTGAAACAAAAAAAAATTATTGATATTGTTTTTTTTTTTTTTATAGAAAGAAACATTATCGTATCAAACCTTGATATTACAAACTACCTAAAACCAAAAAGAAACAAGAACTCAAATTGGTAACTTCAAATAAATAACCTATAGCTCTGTTCCAACCGACATGAGAACCGTTCTAGAACGGTTATTTCCAGTCGATCAATTCATTTGTCAAGTAGGTCAAACGTTCAACTTATTGAAAAATAGGTAGGCAACTGAATATTACTGGTTCTGGAACGGTTCGAATGTCGATTGAAACAGAGCTATTGTATTCAAACTAAACTAATAAGTCGCCGCTCGAGAGTCTGTCGTTTGTCTCTGTCTAATTTCTATCGAAGATTACACCGATGCAGTGGTGCAGTCTGCAGTCAATCCTGTGTACCGTGCACCCCAAACCCCGTTGACCTAACCTATTTTACATTCGGAATTGGAGCAGTGAACTCTATAAATACTTCCTATTCAATTTAAGTTAGTATTAGTTCATTGAATTCGATTATCCCGCGACTATCGATAGTTGCACTTTGAACTATCGATATTTTCGATTGTTCGATATTTTTTTAAATATCGATACCATCGATAAACTATCGATATTATCGTCACCTCTACGTGCTAGCATGCACGCCGACTCTGAAGTGCAAGCTACAAGCTTTTTCGATACGTGCCGACTTATGTCATGCGCAGAAGGGTAAAAATAGTTCAGGTTATCCTTGCGTTCGGTATTATGCTCGAAGAGCAGAGCGTGCAGAGCTGAACTGTAATCATGTGACCACCGAGCGCACAGAGCAGTTGAACGCTGTATCAGAAGGCTCAAAATTTTAATAATCGAACATGAATGAGCCTGCACCGAGTACACTTTTCAAATAAACGAACGATAAATTTATGCTCGAAAAACTCATATCAAAATACTGAACGCATGGTTCGTGACCGTACTACACGCACAGCAGACTGAAAATTGACAGCATTGAGGATGAGTATCAATTTTCCAGCAAGCGTGCTGAAGTGCCACTTCGCTACCAGATTGATTGAGGATGTAGCTTTAAACTCTTTGATCCATCGAATTTGACGGAGCAAGGAAGAGCGCTCCGTGCGTTCTATTGGTCAAATCGAACACGTGAATCTCTTCGAGAGCAACGCTCCGTTTCAAGCCGAACATGCAAATCGGTTTCGGATCGATTTTTGTTCAATTGGGTGCAGTTTTGTGGCAAATGTCGAAAGTGCTAATATATACAGGGACGATTGGGACGAATTTTTAGAAAAATCAATATCAATGAAAATGAACAATATATCAGGCCGTTTTCAAACATAACCACAACACTGTATAGTATATCAGTTTTTCCAACGGCAGGAGTGCGTTTAGAAATGGAGTGTGAAGGTAGAGTAGTTGTTTGTCCGAGTGTTCTGACGTCATCACTTGGAGTGCACTCTTAATGCGCTATTTCTGAGCTGCTTTCTAGTATGCACATTGGCGCGCTCTAGAGCACCCCGGGAACGCCACGCACTAGATTTGTACCGTTCCAGTATCATGACGTGTGACGTTTGTCCGTACGTATAGCTCGGGGGCTCAACGCTCTGAGTAGCTCCGAGCGTCACACCTCCATACGGAAAAAGGCTCTGAACGTATTGGGGCGTTGCGGTGAATGTCAATGTCATGAATTACGTCGAACCCCGTAAAAACTAATAACTCTTTTCATGTGGCTCCGGTTCAACAAACCGCAACATACCGCTCAAATTCGAGTGGTAGGTAAAGTTTGTTTCGCCAGGGTTTGTACTTGCCACCAGCATTTGCCTTCCTTGTTTAACAAATCAAAATTGACTGAAACAAATCAATGACGTCAAAAACGTTCGTCGGTTCTTAAATCATTTTAATTTGTCAAAAAAATTGAATGTGTCGTATGAATTAATCTACGACAACCCTTTTTTTTCAAGTTTCAAGGTCAAGTATGAACCCTGGTGAAACGGACCTTATCCATCACGTCACTTTGTAACCGGGCTAGAAAACGGTATGTCATTTCTCTAACCGTTTTGTAACCCGGTTAGTTAAACCGGAGCCACGTGAAAAGAACTATTAGTTCTTTTCACGTGGCTCCGGTTTAAACTAACCGGGTTACAAAACGGTTAGTAGCGGTATGTCAAGGTCAAGTGATGACGTTATTGAAAATGCCACTTGAAAACGAACGGTTAGAAAAATGTTATTTTAAAATTTAAGCTATCCAACTACCTATCAAATATTCATAATGGGTTGATTTATCTTCTAGTAACTGCCAACCAAAATTTCCCTATTATTTATTTTAACTTTTATTGCTTCAATGTTCGTCAATTGATTATAGGTAGGTAGACATTTTAAAATATTAACAAAACACAATTATATTTCAGTTTATACCTGTCACAATTTTCTCGCTCTCTGTTGTTTACAAATTTTCCAAAGTCTGTTTTTTTTTTAAGATAATTCCTCAAGTCAAAAATTTAGTAACTATGTTAGTATGTTGGCAACATAAGCCTTTTCTACATGAAAAATTTGAAAGCGTTGACAATTTTACATTGTATTGCCAACATAATGTCATTTTGACTTTTTTCTTAAAAAAAAAAAAAAACACTTTATTGTTTTTGCTCTAACCGTTAAACGTAACCATATCGCCGAGCAAGGATGATACAGACTACTACTACAGGATGGCCTATCCTCATAAGGCCTGTGTGTAACAAATCCCCCCCTCGCCAAACAACCAGTTGTGACGTAAGACGCATGGCGTTTCTCGCCTTCACGTAGGCTGTTTAAACAGCTGACGACTTAGTTATGACGTCGGCAATGGTTGAAAACCAATATGGCGGCGATTACCAAAAACGAGGCCGATAAGCACTCCTTAAGCCAGGGACACATCTATCATGCATTCTTCCGATCCGACTCCGATCATACAATCAAGGTCCTTATTCTTGGAACAGGGGAGCAGTGAAACACTCGTTCTCCTTGGGAACGCTGTTCCTTGTTCCAAGAATAAGGACCTTGATTGTATGATCGGAGTCGGATCGAAAGCATGCATGATAGATGTGTCCCGGGCTTTAGAGTGTGTATTCTCCTTGATCGCCGAGTTGGTTAGAGAAATGACCGTTTTCTAACCCGGTTACGAAGTGACGTGATCGATACCACGCGAATTTGAGCGGTATGTTGCGGTTTGTTAAACCGGAACCACGTGAAAAGGGTTAAGTTAAAACCGCGGGGCGTTTTTCAACCCAGATCGTGAGGGCAACTTCTCATGAGCGTAATTTGACATTTATGGCGTGACAGCGTACCTGAATGCAGAATTCTGATTGGCCAAAATCCCACATATTGGATACGCTGACACTCTGCCGCAGGGTACGGATTCTCAATCGTTAAGTCGATACGTAACGTCCCGACTCCCTGTAGAAAGGCAATGGGAAGTCGGGGTCGATAGGTTGCGACTAGAGGTTGAGAATCGGGGGGCAGATACGCCAAAAGTTGAGCAAAGTTCAATTTTTCGCGTAAAAATTCAGCGTTTTTAGAGGTTAAGGTTGCAACCGTTTCGTTTTTTTGATTTTTATGATTTACTGTCCATATTTGTAACTATTTGGAACTAAAGCAAAAACAAATAGAAATTTGTACAATCAAAATTCAAAGAAATATTTTAAAATTTAGGAAAAAAATATAATTTTGACATACGCTGCGGCGTAAATTCTCCACTCCATATGAATGTTGCGCCAAAATTCAAGTATTCAGCATTTGCGCCAGTTATGTCAAGTTTACGCTCATGAGAAGCCGGCCTGATGGCCATTTGTACCCAAGGAGAACACACTCGGAGTATCGCCCTCGTTTTTTTTGGTAATCGTCGCCCCATTGGTTTTCAACTGTTTTCAACCATTGCCGACGTCATAACTAAGTCGTCAGCTGTTTAGGCAGCATACGTCAAGGCTAAAAACGCCATGCCGCTTACGTCACAACTAGTTTTTTGGCGCGGTGGGGTAGGGGGGGATTTGTTACACACAGGCCTTATGAGGATAGGCCATCCTGTAGTAGTAGTGTGTATCATCCTTGGTTTGTACCGACCATTTTAAGGGAGACTTAACGATAAGTGATCCTTAAAGTGACAGTTTCACATGTAAAAATGTCATTTTAAGCTATCCTTATCTTCCTTATCGTTAAGCCTCCCTTAAAATGGTCGGTGCAAACGGCCATGAGTGGGGTAATTTGGGCGCACTTTGGGCACGTCAACTCTCGAATTTCTGAACGATTCCAGCGTAATGCTCCGAGTGAGCACCTGTTAATTTATGAACGGTTTAGAGTTACTCTAGGGTCACTCTCACACCCGGAGTGCTATTTCTAAACGCAACCCTGCGGTGCGCTCTGGCTCTGACTGGGTAACGTACTGCCAGGTTCTTTCACGAACGGTGGCCTCTACACCTCTGTATCAAAAGCGATCAATATTTAACCGCGTCTCCTCTCTCGGTAAATAGTAGGGATCTAGGAAACAGCATAACAAGTGCAATAAATGTTGCTGACAATTTTGAACTGTAAAAGTAGAAGAATGTGGAGGATCGCATTTTTCGTGGAATAGCTAATAGCTGTTTTGTTTAGACTGATCTACTGATCTTTATAATTTTGAAAAAAAATTGCACTAGCTTCACCATCCGAAAACGCTATCTTGACCACGAGTCTTTTATGTCATGTCATGTCACTATAAATCATGTCATGTGTCAAGTCATGTTTAGAGGTTAAGAAGTGATGTGAATTGTTGACTGTCCTTGTGGAAGTTTTCCAAAATAAACTATTAATTATTTGAAGAGGGAATAATAGCAGTTCAATTACGATCGACATTATTTCCAAGAAGTTTCAAATTGTCGGTTGCTTAGATAGTATTCAAGCATGGCTTCTGACAAAGAAACAGACCCCAGGGTCCTTGTACAAGAGGACTCTGAGGGCAAAGCATCGAAAGAAAAAGGTAATGATAATAAAAAGAAGTCGCAAGATAAAAGAAGGCATAGTAGATCTCGGTCTAAATCTCCAGACAGGGAACAGCGACGTGAAAAAAGGCGAAAACGAAAAGGTTCTGATGAGTACCAAATAATGCCCCGCTATTATGGTGATGACAAAAAAAAAGAAAATAGCGATAAATATTGGAGTAAGTATCCAAAGAAAGACGAACATCGAGTTGGTAAGAGATACTATGAAGATGACCCAAATAATTCTGATGATGAGAATGTGGAAAACAAGAGAGCAGGGAAAAAAGCTTCCAAAGACGACAAAAAAGTAGAAGATAAATCGGTCATTAAACCTCGTGAAAGAAAAACGGTAGATCTTCTAACATCACGTACTGGAGGGGCTTATATTCCCCCTGCAAAATTGCGAATGATGCAAGCAGAAATAACCGATAAATCTTCAGCAGCATTTCAAAGAATTGCTTGGGAAGCTTTAAAAAAGTCAATTCATGGATTCATTAACAAAATAAACACGTCAAACATTGGAATTATTGCAAGGGAATTGTTGCATGAAAATATAATCAGAGGCAGAGGTTTATTATGTAAATCAATTATTCAAGCTCAAGCAGCTTCACCAACATTTACCAATGTATATGCAGCTTTAGTTGCTGTTATAAATTCGAAATTTCCCAATATTGGAGAACTTTTACTCAAAAGATTGGTATTACAATTCAAAAGAGGCTTCAAACAAAATAATAAAACCATTTGTATATCAGCATCAACATTCATTGCCCATTTGGTTAACCAGTCTGTTGCACATGAAATTTTAGCACTGGAAATTTTAACGCTACTTATTGAAACTCCTACTGATGATTCTGTAGAAGTTTCAATTGCATTTCTAAAGGAATGTGGACAAAAGCTCTCAGAGGTTACAAGCAGGGGTGTGTATTGTGTATTACATATTTAAAAAAATATATATATTTATATTTTATATTGAGACCAAGGCCATAATTAATTAACTCCATAATGTTTTTTTAGGAATTAATGCTATTTTTGAAATGCTAAGGAATATTTTGCACGAGGGAAAATTAGAAAAAAGGATCCAATACATGATTGAGGTCATGTTTCAAATAAGGAAAGATGGTTTCAAGGATCATGCTGCAGTTATTGAAGAGCTGGACATTGTGGAAGAAGATGATCAGTTCACTCATTTGATAAAACTTGATGATGTAGTACAGGCAGATACTGATGACATATTGAGTAAGTGTTCTTAGCTCGGCTCTTAGGTTCTCATGTTAACATACAGGGTGCATGGGGACTTTAAATGGAACCAATTCGCTAGAGCCTTTGGATGAAATATGTGGACAAAACACAGGAACACAGTGATTGAGATTTTTTGCTGAAGATTGTTTCACATATTTTTTTTGACTCAGGATGTTACAAAAACAGCTGTATGGTTATAAACGTTATTTTTTAAATGGTAGCCCCTGTATATTATGACATTTCCGGATTCTGCGAAAAATTCTAGACATATTTCATTTACAATGTCATATACCATGATATACCTATCTTCAACTGTTTGAGAAATATTGACAGTTGAAAATTGACTTTTTTTGTCACTTTTACAGACTGTACCTAAATAGTTGATTTTACATGACATCAACTTTGAATTTAATCCATGATTAAAAATTCTGGTTTAATTCAATCTCCAGTTAAATTCAAAGTTGGTGTCAACTGCTAACTTATGAAAAGCTACAGACGAGTCTGTGGAATCGGTTTGGTAGTAAAATTAACCATTTAAATTTTACAGCCTGTCAAAGTTACAAAAAAGTCAATTTTCAACTGTCAATATTTCCAAAGCAGTTGAAGATAGGTAGGTATATGATGACGAGAGCTTGGTGGTGGCTCAAAACAATTTATATGCGACATTGCAATTTTTGGCATTTTCATGTTGGGACTGGAATCAGCGCCACGGCAGGCCACCACAGTTTTTTATAACCAGCTATTGGCAGCTATTATCCCTGCCTTTTGAGCAGGGGCGGCTTCTCAATAAGTGCGCTCGTGCGCGCGCACTGCCTCCAAAAACCAAGCAAGAAAATAAAATTAAAATTTTGGAAAGAAAAGAAACTTCAATTAAAAAATACCTACCCAATTTTCTAAATTAGGATAAACATCTACTCATTTTTCTATTTTTAAATTCGCACGAACTCGAACGGAACGAAAGCGCGCCCTGCGCCTGTCTTGTATATTTTTTTCTCCCGCTTGGTTGTGCTGGTGGTCCGGGTGGTCGGTGTGGAATCGTTCGGCGCTCTGGGTAAATGTGTTTTCTCGCTGTGCGATTGATCAGGAATATACGGTAAGTCGCCCGATGAAAGGGATGCGCCGTGCGCTATTTGAATACACACTTCCAATGTTGTTTCCACTCAATCGAGAATATTTCGATGTTTTTTCACCATTTTAGCGGTTTGACAACTCTGTTGTTCGCGTTTTTTTTTTTTAATTATAAATTTCAATATCAATTATGTATTATGGCTAGAATACAAACATTCGAGCCCCATTTAAATACATATATTTTTGTTTTCGATAATTTTTCCTAAAGTAAAGATAAAAAAATTCAACATACAAAATAAATGTAGAACAGGACGTGGCACCGTGGCACCTCCAAAAAATTTTCCAAGAGCGCACAACCACACTAGATTGCCACTGGCCGCCACTGCTTTTGAGTTGACAGAGAATATAATAACCTTTTTTAATTTGATTGTACTCCATATGATTTAATAAATTGAATCAAATTGAAACAACAAATTTTGTATTTTGAAGGAGTATAAATAAATATATAAATAATTTTTTTTCTACAAGCAAGCACTGCCTTTTGGTTGGAGTGGAATTCGAAAGTCGTTTGTTCTCCCACTGGGCGGAAAATTTGTTCATATCATATTCGAAAAAAAAAATAGTTATTTTTTTAACAAGTGCGGGAAATACCATTTCTCGCAAGTGTTAGGAACACAATTTTTCCCAAGGGCCTGCGGAAAGATTACTCTTTGGTCTTTGTGCATGCCAAAAGTTTTTTTTTTCAGCACATTCGTGGGAAAAAAATGGATCATCTTTGCTTCAGGTGTCCAGAAAATGGCAGAGATTATCCTGTTTTTAATCCCTAGTAGGACTGCTTATTGAGCTGACAGTGTCTGCCAACAGTGCGAACTAGCCAACTGCCATGTCAGCCGCAAACCTCAACTCTTGGAGTAAAATGCATTATTCAAGTTCAAAGCACTAGGTCAAAAAAACGAATTCCTAAACGTTGAAATCTTGTTTAAATCACCTTTCCTACATTTAAAATTGAAAAAAAATTCAAATAACGAGCGCAACCTGAATCGCAAGCCTTCCATCAAGGTCTGCGGGTGACGCCATCATTATAATCTGCTGTGGTGACGTCACTCGCAAACCTTGTGTAGTCAAGAATTGGTGAACCTACGCCGTATTAGGATGAGCAATCCTGTTCATGATTCTTGGGTTTTAATAATAATTGTTGTATAAAAATTATTAAAAATGTCGAATATTCCAACAAAATCCAAATCTTTCGTTGTACAAACAAACTAGCATCTGCAAAAAACTTTTTCTCTGACCATTGAAAAATAAACAACTTTTGTCAAAAATCATTTTCTGCAACTTGAAAACATTACCTACATATTATAAAAACTGCTGTTTTCGACACTTGTTAAACAATAAACATTGTCCGCACCTGTTAGGAAAATCTAACCCAAACAAAATAAAATACTTTGACGTCAATTTGGCAATGCAGCACTACTTGCCTTAACCTTTTAGAATTGTTTTGGGGCTCCCACCAAGCTCTTGTTATATGAGGTAGATGAAATATGTCTAACATTTTCCGCAGAATCCAGAAATGTCATAATATACAGAGGCTACCATTAAAAAAAAAAAAAGTTGATAACTATGCAGCTTGGAACACCCTGTATACAAAAATTAATGTGAAAATCTTAGGCCGGGGTTATCCAATTCCTTAATTCTTAATTTTCGTTCTTAATTCTTAATCCTTAAAAACCCCAATGTTAAATAAATTGAACTTTTTAAGAATTAAGGACAAATATTAAGAATTAAGGAATTGGGTAACTCGGGCCATAATCGACGTGTTTTTGCGTTTTGTTCACATTTTTTATCCAAAGGGTCTAGAATTAGTTTCAGTTAGAGTCCCCACCCTTATAATCCTAATAATGAGGTTGGAATATGCAAGAGCAGCCATTAGGTTTGTACAAGTAAGGATTCAAAATTATATTTTGGAAGTACAGATACAAGAAACATACAATCCATATACTGAATTCAAATATCCCTGCCCAAAAATTATACCATAGTTCATAATATATAGACTCAAAATAAGCATAATACAAAGCTCTGAGAGCTCTTTCTTTAACATATTTGCTGATAAAACAGACTGACGTCAATATTTTTAGCAAGTTATTTATATGATGAAGCAAATCCAGGTGTTCATTTCAACTCATTTATAAAAATCCCTAGAAACTTCAAATTATTCTAAAACTTCACAGCTATTAAACACATTACGTGCCGGTACTTTTGCTGTTATTTGACAGCCGTTAAAAATAATCAGGGCTTAGAATGTGCTCTAACCACATAATACTTATAGACCTTGGCCCATGCAAAACTTTGACAACGTATCAAATTTGTTAATCGAGAGCAAAAGTATCGGCCCTACATCTACTATAATTACTTAGTATCTAGTGTCAATTAAAATAATAAACAATTCAATAAGAACGAAGAATTTAAAAAGAAAAAAAGAAAAATCAAGAGACAAACTGAATTAACATAATAGATGAAATGGAATTTAAAAAAATATAAACCTATACTGAGACCTATACTTATACTTATATTCGTTTTTCCCTGCACAAAATACAAGATCAAGACACCACAAGACAAAAAAAAATTAAAATAAACAAAAACAATAAAAACAATGTTTGAGCCTGAATCAGGGACATTATATATCACACTGAGTCACCAGATGAACTCTTAATTTTTTTTTGAAATTCCTAAGAGTACCACATGACTTCATTTCATTTGGTAACTGATTTAACCCATTCATACCCTTGAAGAATACCAATCTTGTTGCTGATGCCCCACATCTATGTTGATTATAGAATTTGTTCTGTTGTCTAGTCTAAGGTGAGTTTAAGGTGCGTTTACACATGCATGGATTTAGTGGCGCCAATAAAAACTGGCGCGCCAGTAAATTTTAGTAGCAAGTGTAAACATGGACTTGCATACACATTTTATATTTGCATGCATAGTCCAAAAAAGTCTGCATCTTTCTGAAATCACTGGCGCCAGTGGTGACAAATTCGTACAGAAAATCAAAACTTGCAAGTGTAAATTTAGTGCTTGCACGTCGGCGTCCGCTCGCCAGTTTTTCGTTTGATTTTCATTTCGGTTGCTGCGAGTTCTCCTAGAAGTTTTGCAGAAGCAGCTGAAGGGGGTCGACGACCAATCCATGGTTCAATCCAGAAACGGCCATTTCGTTGGTTGCGTTTCTTTTTCTGTATTTCTTTTATCTTTTTTTTTTCCTAAAAGTTTAGCGACTATTTTACAGGCTTCGGAAAGTTCACTCGACATAGTGCACACTGCGAAAAGCACTTTAAAAGTGAAACTGGCGTGCCACTTATTTCTGTTTTTCGCACAAAGTGTAAACCTTTACTGGCGTGCAAATAGAACTGGCGCCACTAAATCCATGCATGTGTAAACTCACCTTTATTATGATCATGCATCTGGCTATTGTAATTGTAAACCATCTTTTTTGTAAGATACAACAGAGCAAGTTCAATTTTAATTCAAAAAATAAACACCACAACAGCAGTACATTATATTTAGCATATCCCACAATTGGAAGCCACTGAACAGTCTAAGCATGCTCTTTAGAGGAGTATACTTATTACATGAGAGTATGATTCTCGAGGTGTTCTGTATGTCAACCTCAAGCTTAATATTAGCTTCATTCAGAAATTTTATTTCGCCTTTGAGTTGAATTATTTGTTGCTTTTGTTCTTCAATAGTACTTGGGATAAAGAAATACTGAACAGCGCCTAAGATAGTTTGTCCTAAAACTAATTTTAGAAACTAGAATTTTGCAGTGATATTTTGGTTTGTTATCATAGAGCAGGCGCTACAAGTAGTTAAGAATGCAAAATGTGAGGACCGCCAAAAATGCTCAAATTCGTGTTCCTGTGATCCTAACGAAT